TTGGGTCTGTGTCTTGTTTTTAAGGCCCTTGAATTGCTGCCTTCTTCAATTGAAGTGCGAGAGGTTTACACATTTTTGCTCAACGTTCTGGAAGATAAGGAAAAGAAAAGGAAAAATTGTCAAGTGCTGAAGAGTCTTTTGTTCGCGGAACATTTACAGGTAGGGACAATACAGACAAATCTCTGCTCTCCCCCTAGAAAGGCAAACGGCTTTTAATCTGACGCTTCTCTTTCTGAGATACCTCACTTAAACGCAAACCTTTTGTTTAAAAGTGGATACCCCATTAAGTGTACTTCTTTCTTAGTTGGACATTTTACAATAACTTGGCAAATTCTCGCGCGCTCATTGGTTAATTGTCATTGTCAATTTAACAAATTGACGTCAGTTTTTCATGCGTCTGTCCTGACAATGACTTATTGACAATGAAAATTAGCCAATGAGCGCGCGAGAGTTTCTGCAGTTATCGTCAAAAAGTGGACAGACACATGAATTTAAAATTTATGCGATGCGTCAACGAGCGAGAGCCTCGGGGATCCACAGCTACTTAGACAATATTATGACCAAATTCATGATCAATTACAGGACAGACACATGAAAAACTGACGTCAATTTGTTAATTTTTCAAGTTCATCGTTTGTAATCCGTGTTAATCTTCTCCACCCTTAACCATCCTTGTTCCTTTATGGTTTATTATTATCTCGTTGGTATTCTTCTATCTTATTAAACTGCTATTTTCAGGTTTCCTTCAATTTAAAGGTGTTTTTTGTACGAGGCCAAAATAACTCAAAATACCGTGACTGAGTTCCTTTAAGCAGATGCCTCTCTTTAAAGAACCCCACCCTTTAGCAGACTTGTGGTTACTTTAACACTCTGTGCTAACAAGACTATTTGACTGACAGGTTCAAGAACAGCGTATGCATTATCAAGGCCATAAAATCATTTTGACTGATGAGAGAGCGTGCCGAGAGTGTCATAAGAAGATTGGAAACAGGTCAGTTTTTTTCAGACCTAAGAGGTACCAATTCTAAAACAACATATTACCTCACGTCACATTTTTTCCGGCTCAATACCCTAAAAAATACCGCAGAAGCTCCTGCTGTGGAGCTTTTTAGGCTGAACACCTTCAGAGGCACCAAAACCGGCATTTTTAACCCCTAAAAGGTACGACGAGCACCCCCGTCCCTGTGACATGGGAGTCCTCCCCCCCGGAACATTTCGAGAACTTTAGAAAAGGGGGGGGGGCAATAGTACGAAAACTCTCTGGGAAAGTTGTCGGAAATTTTTGGCAAATGGGAAATTCGCATTAAGAAGTTTTCAAAAAATTGGGTATACCTCGTGGTTGTGTCTTCTTTTGCGGAAATTCCAGAAAATTCTCTTCAATTCGCTGCTGGAAAGTTCCGAAAGTTCAGCGCAGTTGTTCGCGCTCATAATCCATCCAGTTCTTTCCTAATCTTATTACCTCCAAGGAAGAGAAAATACGGTCTATACCGATACGCATTTACTTATTAGCTTTATTTGTGTCTTTTTTTTCTCTAGTGCCTTTGCATACTACCCGACCGGGGAAATACTCCACTACTACTGCTGCAAAAACCTTACTTCTCCCCCTAGCAGTGAACACACCACCCCCCGGCACAGCCCCACCCCTGAGGATAATCTGCTACAGAGATACTGACCGGGAGTGACGCACTTGAACAGCCACGTGCGCGACATGCTTCGCTGAATTTCACCGGATGTGATGGCACGTGTCATTTACTCGCGTTGTTTATGCCGCGCGCTTATCGCGTGATGAGTTGTCAAGAGTCACGTGCGCACGTTAGTCATGCTGCGTGCGTTTCACATGTTACCTTACCAAGTTATTTAGTCTCCCAAATCGAAAATTATTATGATTTTCTTGCCGCTCTAAGGTGTTGAGGATTCTAAAGACCCTTAATAGAAAGAAGATTGGGCGTTACTTTAGGATCATCCGTAAAAGTGTGCAAAAAATTACAGGTCTGTACGGTTGTTGTCCGGGAAATTAGAGATATTTTTCGTATATAAACTAAAAACAAGTGTACTAAAGAAGTGTAACATGTAGAATATTGAAACATTCATAATCAAAGAAAAATTGATATAAGCCATGACATGATGCTCTCCTTCGTGACTGTCACGCAACGCTTCTGGAGGGTACAAGAGTTGTGTGACGCCCGAAGTAACGGCTGTATGGGGTCCATATTTCATCAAATCCTTGTCACATTTGTCGAGGATAGTTAGGGAATTTAAATTAAATATATATCAACGTGTTCGAGAAGAGTTAAAATCTTTGCTGTTAAACCACGCTTGTAAACCCTTGTCTCCAAATATTCAGTTCTTGCCGTAGAACTCTTGATTATCTTTAACCTCTCAACCTCGTCCCAAGGTCATTCCGCCGTTCAAGATGGCGAAAACATCAAAATGGTTGCCATAATCGTCTGAGAGCACCTGGAGACGAGCTAAGCAACCGCCTACAGGTTTTCGTCGACAAAATGTGGCTTCTGAGCTCAAAGTTCTGTTTGTAGTTGAGATCAAGGCTTGTTTCTTCAAGATTTCCACTAGTTAGATGTACGGACTATTATGGAATTAAGCTGATACGTTGTGTTTTGTAATATTACATTGAAGAGGTGAGAGGCGCTTTTTGCCTGTGCTACGAAATGAGTCTTATTTCAAAACAATCGTTGACTTGCATGTACCTTTTCGGTGCCTACTGGCCTGATGAGACATAATGTTGATGTACAAGCTCATTCTGTAATAAGAATTACACACAAAAACACGAACTCAAGTTTACGTGAGGTAAGAAATGTTTATTCACAGAATAAAAGAAATCGCGGAAGGAACAACTCGTCGGTAAATCCTCGTGAAATGTCCGAAGGCTTTCCGATTATCCTTAATACAAAATCGGAAGCCAGCCGAAAGTTGTCGTGTCAGATTGTCGTCCTCAGAAAACGTAACATTGTTAAGTAACCTTTTTGAAGCAGAAATACTGCGGACTCGGACGTTATGGACAAGCAGGAATCCTTGTTTCCCCGGGTGGAAAAGTGCAACCCATGCGTTGGATAATTTGCGTAACGACCAATAGATAATTTCCTGTAATACAACAGTACTTAAAGTTCGCATCTACTTAATAAGCAAATACTTTCATTCTCATATTCTACTATTATTTGACTAATGCCTTTTCACCAAAAAGCGCATTTACTAAAGTGTTAACAGCACAAAATGCACAATGTTAAGCAGGGAACAGCGCCCTAAGTGAGTACATTGAAATTTTTCATCGCTTAAAAAGCATGCGTACAGTATTAACATTTGCCATCCTAACTAGCTGAACAATCCACTGGATCTCTAATTTAAGATTGAATTAAATGTCGTAACAGCTTTCTACAGCAAGTTCGGAAAAGACCAGGTCAAGAGGTTTTAGCGATAGTTAACTACTATACAGACTTTTCATATCAATGTAAAAATTTTCATATCAATGAAAAGTTGATTCCTTCACCCAAAATGACCTAAACAGAAGGAAGAGTCTTTCAGTCTTGCCCAATAATGCTTCCAATGTGTGCCACGCTTTGTAATGCTTTATTTTTACACTTCTTTCTCTTCGAACGAAATAGGTTTGCGGAATCATCCCAAAAAGCTTTACCTAGCCTCCTTGAAGAAAAAACACCCACCACAACTTAAGTTATTGCTAATACCGGCTGCTAATGTTAAATTACTGCTCTTAATCGTCAAAAACGTATTACTCAAATGTTCTGTTAATGTTTAAGCTAGGCAAAAACGAAGCAAACGCATTATTATTTACGAATGGTACGAAAACCCACTTAAAATTCGTTAGCGACCGATTCAAAGCACACCAAGGTCTGGACAATGAAATATCACCGTTTACATACGACTTTCTTTATGCGAAACAACGAAACACAATGAACCAAAGTGAGTGGGGTCTCCTGGTGGTGTTCAATATGGTCCCGGGTACCTTCCCCAAAATGGCGGCAGCGGAGGATAGAAGGGTAGATTACTCCAAGGCGAGGCTGGTGGGCATGCGTACTTTGAAGGAAGTTCAGATCTAAGTACAAGAGGTGTGTCAGCATAAGTTGGTGGGCGGTGCTCATAGTCGGGCTGGTAACCATGGTAACCGTGATGCATAGTGTAAGCGAGGCTGTTAAGGAAGGAGAGTTTGGCTCTCCGTTCAGTGTCCTCTGATCGCTTTCTCTTTTGTTTCATTCGTCTGTTTTGGAACCAAGTCTTCACCTGTGTTGTCGGAAATCAGAACGTAAAATGTTATCCCGTTTCCCAAAAACCCCTACTAGGGCCTCAAAGTTTTAATTTCAGTTTCACGATTCACGTTTGGAATCATTCTGTGTCAAAAGTCGCGTGAACAACTCTTTGACATCTATCCGTTAGTTTACTAAAGCTCTTAGCCAATCAAAAGTAAACAACCGCACGTCAAGCTTTTCAGGCTTTTCAGCCTATCAGAGAAGCAAAACAAACGGCCCATGTAAAAGTTTTACATGTTTGTGTTGGTTTTCCACGCTCTTTCAGCCAATCAAAAAATGAACATCAGTACGAACAACTTTTGACTGGTTTTCTGCCTTCTCCGTCAATTAAAAGAACAACTCTCTGACATTCTTTAATTTGGAATCCCTTAGCCAATCAAAGGACGCGCTTCATCTAGAATTCAATTAATCCTTCCCCGGCTCAACAAGAAAAAATTCAACCTTCTGGCGACCTCTAGCGTAGACTGATCCATGTAGTTTCAATGATTGACTTTTTTAAATTCGTTTTTCTAGCGAAAGAAGAATGAAATGCTGCCTACATAAGCCTAGAAATGGGCATGAACTGAAAAGTTTGCTCACCTGTGTTTCTGTCATTTGTAACTCCTCTGCAAGTCTTTGTCTGTCTCTGGAGCCGAGATATTTCTGTCGCTCAAACACTCGCTCTAATTGTAAAACCTGCTCCACCGAGAATGACGAACGGCTCTTGCTGGATCGTGACTGAGAGGGACCTTGGCCAGCCACATCTAGACAATGAAAAACACAAAAGAGTTCAGTCTGAGAATTTAACGCAAAACAGTGAGCGATTTGCGCACGACAATGTCACGCGTGTTCACCCAAGAGTCTCGCGCGCGAGTTAAGACTTTTGACAGTATGGTCGCTTTCTAAGCAGTTTTATCATAAAGAGTAAACTTTGGTTATTTTAAGAAGTAAAAGTTTCTTTTATATGAACAATCAGATGACAGTTGTCAAAAGTTGTTGCAGTTTCTTGTCAAACTTCTAAATTTGCTGCTGTTTCTAACTCGATCCCAAACTGTATTACTAAATTTTGATAGGTGCATTTTGGAAACATTATAGGACCGAAGTCTCATGACACAGTTATTTATCTTTTGAAGTTACAAATGTAGCCGCTAGACAGAGAAGTATAACAAGTGGAAAGGTACTGTTGAATGTTATGCTAAGATTGGAAGGACAAGGTACAAAGCATGCTTCAAATAATCGATTCAAGGATGGTTCTCCCCGAGCCTTGCGAACGAAACTCTCGTGCAACATTCAGCTTGTTAACCTCACACTTTACATATTTGCGAAATATCACAACCTCTATTGATTTTTCTGTTCGTCATTTTTAAATGTCAGGAAAACTAATTCATTCAAACGAGCTCGAGGAAATCAAGGAAAGAAGGAGTAAAACGTGACCGGTTAGTCAGTCCGAAACGAATTTACAAACAATTAGCTATAGATAAATTTGAAGTTAAATAAACTGACAGGTGAACGTGAAAATAAAGACCAAGGCCGAAAAACAACTGAAGAAACCACCCACTAGAAATGAAGTAAAATCGACAACGAAAAGTACAATTAAAAAAAAACATACCTTTGACATCAGCTTGATACATTCCATGTGGAGAGTTTTGCTCAGCAACAGGTCTTTGAGGGGAATAGCTTGAATCGGGGGAAGGCTGGCAGTTTTCTTTCGTCTCACGCTCTGGCGTTTTCACGGTCAGTAATGCATCTTCACAGCCCATGTAACTTTCTTTCTTCCAAAGATAACAATTTTCCATTTCGCTCATGTTCTTAGCCCTTGCTCGATGCCTGCTGTTCGACGCAATGATGGAAAATGATTTCCACTCAGACCAGCCTGTTGTTTTCTCTTATTTGCCGTTTTGAATTTACCGCGCTTTTATTTGTTTGCATTTAAGAGCCCGCCGCACTGAAAAACATTATTCAAAGACAACGTTTTAAAAGCCCGACTATTGTTTCGAATCGGTTTTTGCAAAGAACAATTCAGTTTGTTGATTGTTTGCGTTGTGGCGATCGGTTGTTTACGATAACTTTTCATCTATACCGCTTTGAACATCGGAGATCACAAAGATTCCGACCGAGTGTTTCTTTTTTTTTAGCAAGTTTAGTTCTTGTCAAAGTCACGGTATTTTTTTTCTTTTCCACGAAAAATCGAAAAATAAACCTGTCGCAAGAGCAAACTACCACGCACTTAAAAATAAAAAAAATCCTTATATTGTAAACAGGACACACTTTGTTTAAATTTACTGATCAAGGAACAAGCTAGCACCATATATCAGATGTTTTTCGCACGCTTAAGTTATAAAAAGGATCCAATTCCGAAGAATACAGAGCGGCTAAATTGTCGCAGACAGTCACCTCTCGAATATAACAGCAGAGTCGAGCAAAAAGTTCTGCAAGCTCTATAATGTTATAAACTCTTCCAGTGACATATAACCGATACATAAAAGATACAACATCAAAAGTCTTCTCATCACCGATACCTACTTTTCGTTAGTTTAAAACGAAGGTACAATCCAAAAAACATCAAAGAGCAGTTTTTGGAGACGGTTAAAAAGACTGTGTTTTAGCGGGGCAAACGACCATAAGCCCGTGTCTCGTATTTCCTGCTCTTGTACCGCGCTCCGCGTCCTACCTGGCTAAAATACCTGCATTTTCTGCAGGGCTACAAGCTGAGGGATTTGCCTGTGTTTTTCTGCTGAAAAAAAGAGCAATGAAGGCTTAAGTTGTGTTTACACCCTTGTTTTACTTGCACAACATTGCGCGCGACAGTTTCAACGTGAGTATATCATCGCCGGGACAATAGCTTTTTATCTAAACCAAACGCAAACATGATGATCTGTTTCGCTTCACTTTTCAAAGTAAAATCTCAAAACTGTAACGTTTTAATCCTCTTAGGCACTCATCCAGGCTAGTATCTCAATTTTTGTCACGTATTTGAAAACATCGCATCTTGTAGCTTGGCTCAGTAGCGTGAATTTCGCGCGCG